GTTATATAAGCCGCAGCGTCGAAAAATAGGGAAAAAGGCGCGGCTTATAGTCCGAAAATTACGGTAGTTACAATAAGTAAAAGAATCAGTGTGAACCTCTCCCTATATCAAACAANCTCTCGGTTCCACTTTTACTTTTGCGCGCTACCTGTCTCACTCTTTTCCGGCCTCCAGCTTTTCCTGCTGGAACCCGCCGCTTAAAGGTGGGGGTCCGCGGACCGGCCATAGAGCCCATAGAGTTAAAGGTGTTGGCCGTTAGCTGTAAAAATCCATAGATTAGCCGCACCGTTATATAAGCCGCAGCGGCGAAAAATAGGGAAAAAGGCGCGGCTTATAGTCCGAAAATTACGGTAGTTACAATAAGTAAAAGAATCAGTGTGAACCTCTCCCTATATCAAACAAAGAAAACACGGGCAACATCCAAGGATAAGGGGGAGGATATGGTGTAAGAGTTGTACCACTGGCCAAGGATTTCATATTTGCTTTGAATTGAAAAAGTGTGTTCTGAGACTGTTGGACAAAGTTAATTTGATGAAGTTTGTAAAAATTCAGTTTGAATCCACCATATTTGAAAACATTCAGAAGTTAGCTGAGCATTTTATTACGTTGTTTGTCTCTACTGCAAAGCATTATTGCCATCAACTGCTGTATTGAATGTTTTAGATTTGCCACTCGGGGTCTAACAACATTTAACTATTATAACGTTTAAGCAAATTGAAACAACCGGTTTACACATCCAGCAGCCTAAGAGCAACAATAACATTTATTTTGTGTTTCTGGCATGTGTTAAGTTAAATATTCACTCTCCTTGCAGCTCTGTGTTTGGTCTCCACAGACACCAGAGGGAAATGTCTGGCTCTTTAGCTGCGAAACGCTCCACTAGGCGGTGTCTGTCCAAAACAATGAGCTGAAAGAGCTAAAATTCCCCTTTGAAAAAAAGGAGGAGAAGGGGGTGGGGGTGGCGCCGGGTAGCTCAGTCGTTATAGCAGGAGGACCATATGAAGTCACTGCTGCCTAACAAGCCGGTTTGAATTCAAATCTAAGTTCTCCAAAATCTAAAATATCTTTAAAAAAAGAAATCGTTGGGGGATGTAGAAATGGGTGATTAGTCTTAGTAAGTTTTTGCCATAACGACAGACCCCTTTTAACTTTTTTGACACTCTGGTAATACAACTATATTGATGAAAACAGTTCCGAGATGTTTTCAAAGTAAACCTCAGAAGGTGAGATTATAATGTTTCCTAGCTTCTAATGTGTTTCTGTTGATGAATCAACTCCCACAGAAGGTTACATAACACTTCAAATAGATTCATCTTTTTCACTTCTCTTCATTGCATTCCAACAGTTCCAACAAGTAGCCTACTGTTGGAATATATTTACAAAAAAGTTTAAACAGAATTGTTTTTCAAATCATTTACAATTATCTCACTGGCTAGTACTGATAAATCATAACAAAATAATAGAATCATAAAAACAATGCTGGAAGAGGAGGTTTAATAGAAAAGACCAGAGGCCTGTACGACGAAGCCAGCTCAACATAACCTGGATATGTTTGAGTTAGCCGGTTGGCCTAATCCAAAACATACGCGCTCTCGTTAAACGGTCCTACGACGCACCCGCGTCGTAGGACCGTTTAACGAGAGCGCGTATGTTTTGGATTAGGCCAACCGGCTAACTCAAACATATCCAGGTTATGTTGAGCTGGCTTCGTCGTACAGNGTGTGCCTTGGCAGTCTCACAGTACGCTTCTCCATGTTTGTGATTGGGCGAATGCTCCAAATACCACCCCTTTCATGTGAACGCGCACCTAACTAGATAGGGCACGGCTGGCTTGAGCGATCCACTTGATAACCCGCTTCGTAGTACCGTTTAGCGAGAGCGCGTATGTTTTGGATTAGGCCAACCGGCTAACTCAAAACATATTCAGGATAGGTTGAACTAGATTCGTAGTATACCCCCCAGGTTAGCCGCTCAGCATAAGTTACCATGGGGATCTAGCCCGCTAAAAGGAGAACCCGCGTCGTAGGACCGGAAACCCTGAGTTTTCCCTGAAGTTAGCTCGCTAAGCGAAAATCCTGCTTCGTAGTACAGGCCTCTGTTCTCTGCCTTTGAATCTGTTTTTGGCCTTGAGGATGTGATTTCCTGTCGTCTTTTGATCTTACAGAAAATGTGCAGACATTACATTTATAACACTTCCATAGTGCTCTAGTTTATGTTCTTCGGTAATACCTCAGAGGAGTTGAAGGAAAAACACCTAAACTCTTTCTCTTCTCATCCAATGAATTCCTCGTCCAATGGCCACGTGCACTGTCCCTCCAAAAGTGCCTCTGAGTTTCCTCAAAATGTCCTTTCTCCAGGTTTCCTATTTATTTTCTCCTTCTATTCCTGACTTCTGTGACTCTTCTTTCATTGCTGGCCCCTCCCTTGGAACTAACACTTTCTTCTATTTCCTCACTCTCACTCAGCCCTTATTTGTATTTCTCCCTCTCCTCCCCTACGTCAACAGACAGGTAGGGGTCCCCCCCCCTGCAATAGTTTGGTTTTTTTTGTTCATCTGATTGCATTTCAGGGGCTGTCAAACCATATATTAGCAGAAATGCAGCCTGCATCGTTTAACTGTCTCACTGTTTGTCATGCCTGCATTGCCGGTAAAGGCTGCCTTTGGGATGAAACTGTTTGGACACATCCTGATTTGATCACTCACACAATCATCTAATAAATACTGAACTGCCTGTTGCGTCAAGAATGATAGAGGAGCCTTCAATTCGTCATTTTGGTGGTGTTGGATATGGATGTGCTGAACCAATGCTTAAACATTATGTTAGACGTGATTCGCCTTCAAAGTATATGTCCAGATAAACTGAGTGTAATTACCTGAGCTTTTTGTCAATGTGTTTCATGCTGTAATCCCTCCTACACTCATGTCATTTTTTTGCCAAAAATACAATAAAGTGGATACTAATAATCCATCATCAACCTCTATATCAATCTAGGCACTACATGTATGAGCGCTATCAGTGACACATCTACGTTTAACAACAAGCAGCCCAACACCACTGTTCTTCTTCTGCAGGTACAATGATAAGCTGTGCTTATAATGGTATGCTCCCAAACAAACTCTTTGCAGAAATGCATGTGCTAAGTTGGATATGTCATTTTTTACATGCAGCCACAGTCCCGATATAACAGTCCTGATGAATGACAACACCTTTGAAGATGCATAACAACTTATTCCTCTTACGATTCCCTGTAGATTTGAAACACAGTATTTCTCAAAACATTACAACCATTGTTTTGCTAGCTGGGGGCTTTACTGGGTAATTGAAGTTACCACTAGCTCTCGGTGGCTAAATGTTACGCCTAATAACTAGGGCCTCAAATGTTCAACTCTATAATGCTGTACCGTAGAACTAACGGTATGAATAAGATACACTTTTAGAGTGAGAGCACTGTGCCTTATCCTGCAAGTATTTTACCAATTGTGTGCAAGAAGTCACTTAGATTACAGGTTCAGAGTCAACTTTTAGATTTTTATGAATTACAGTGACTCTGCTTTCAGAGACTTAGCGTCTATATTAATTTATTAATATATATTTTTTTATTAATATTATTCCCAAATGAGTTCCAATAGCTAGACCTATACAAAGCACATTTAGCAACCGATAATTTCCAATGAGAAAAACAGTTTTTACTTCTTTATTGATGACTATCTTGACTGGATATAATATATAAATAACATCATGAATATGGTCGGTTATAAGGGGTTATAAAATAACCAGTAGTGCAGATTTTGCTCGAGAATATGTAGTATATTGGGATGAATCATAGATAGTAGTAGGGAAGATGGTATTGAGTATCGGAGTCTGTGCATAAACATGCGATAACAATGTATTAGTCACCTCATGTTTTGTATGTCTGTAGCCTCCAGCAGGACCAAAGTCTGATACAGAATAGATCTGGCAGTGGTTTAATAAATTATCACAAAGGATTGCTTGCATCCAATTCAGATGTCTCAATATAGAAGGACGTAAAACACAAAAACATATAAAACAAACACATACACAGAAACAACAATAAGCACAGACAAAAATCAAAAAAGAAAAAAAAAGATGAAAAGTGCTATAACAAAAACTATGAAATATGAAGAGCAAGATATACACACTTCTACAATTACAGAACTGCGGCCAACAATTAAAATATAACAAAAATCTAGTCCTATTTTAAACAGACACCTTAAGCCACACAAATAATGAGCAGAAATATGTTGTTGTATGGATGGAAATTGCATTTATATAATAACAATCAGAGATTAAGATATCCGGTATAGACAAAGCAATACATATATAAATAAAGAAAATAAGGAGAAAATTAATATAAGTGAGTGTTTCTTCAAGGATTATTATGAAAATTATATAATGAAAGATAGAAATTATCAAATACATAGTATCGGTGGAGGATACATCATTGTCAGTATGGGTAAATATATAAAAAAAAACAATAATGTACTAGCCCTCCCAAAAAAACGAATAATAAATTAATAACAATCAAATATAAACACAATAAAAATTATTAACACAAAGAAAATAGGACATATATATGAATACAACTATAATATAAAAAGAGAAAAA